CTGTGTCAGTCACCAGATGGCCGGTAACATTTTTATAAATTCTAAAAGTACAATGTTGTGAGAACATAGACATGAACAAATGTGAACGATGCTCTGTACAGTTAACGGGTCAGTGCTGCTTCATCACAAAAGTTTAAGCCTTTCCAATGTAAATATTCAAGAGCTAGAACACATGAAAGGAGACGCGTTACTCGCGCTGAGTGGGAAGTTTAAACATCCGAAGCCCCGGCCTGAAAGCCGCATCTTGAGCTCTGCTTCCTTCCTGCGCTTGAACGGACAAATTCACACACTATTATGTTAAAAATGCCCGTCTCAGTGAGTATCTTAGTAAATTAGTTGGTACTTAAGTGAACATGAACAGCTGAGAAAGAAACCGGACACAAACCGCGCACGACGCAATGTGTCACAAGACAATAGAACCCATTATAATCAGAGATATTGTCTACACAGGATGTGGCGCGACACAACAAATTGCCGAAAGTAAATGGATTCCCTGTTCTATTTCTGAAATAGTCCAAGCAACGGCCACTTTGTCACATCCATGTTGACAACTTCAAGCTGCTGCGGTGTAGACACGGTGTTAAAGTGATAGACACATAATTCCAATAATCCTGCTGTTGTCTGTGTTTTTAATGTTGAATAAAGAAAATAGGACAAAGAAAAAAAAAACAATCACTCACTGCGCTTGTACTTTAAAAAAGATATAAAGACATAATAGTAGAGTAATAATAGAAATAGTGTTATTTGATTAGCATAATTTATTAAATTTCTGTAGGCTACCTGAAAATCACTGTTAGACCTGCCTGAAATGCACCGTTTCTATGTGTATCTTTGTTGTATAGTAGGCTATTTTGTAGTGCTGGGCGGTATGACCAAAAATTTATATCACGTTATTTTTCGTCAGACCTCGCGTTTGCGGGACAGCACTGGCGAAATCTTCCAACTGAACCATAGCTAAGGTTTATCCAGAAAAGTCGCTAGGTTTGTCGGTATGAATATTCTATGGAAAAAAGCCGCTAAAAGGGTCTGAAAGTTGCTAAATCTAGTGCTAAAGTCGCGCTCGTGTGTGTGAGACGTGGGAGCTGATGGCAGGGGGCGGTGGATATTAGTGGCGGTCAATGTGGATATTGTGGATGAGTTCTTCTGTGTCATCACGTTCTATTAGTTCTACAGCTTCAGTTTCGGAACTTTCACGCTTAGTAACACATACAGCTGTTCCCTCACCACAGTGCAACAGTGAAAAGTGACCCCTTTCAAACAGTGTCGCTGTAAAAAGATGCTGTACAAAAATATATGTAGATAAACCAACTGGTCATCATCACTAATCACCAGTTGACTAGTTCTGTCTCTAATTCTTATTTTTTTAAACTAGCCGTCTCATCCATTTCTTCATTTGGAGAAGCCTTTCCTCAGATAAGGTCCCATTGCTAAGCATCAAAATCAGTTTCGGGACATGTTGTGCGAGTGTTTTAATGCTAAGCAGTAACATCAGACTCATGTGACTCAGACTTCCGCTGGCCTTCATATTCATGACTCTGTGTGGGAACGCTGTTGGCAGGTGTTTCCATCCACGAGGCCTGCGAATCCTCTCTGCTCTCATATCCCCTTCACTTCCTGTGATTCATCGTGCTGCCAGCTTCAACAAATGTCATTCCAGAAGGCAG